TGTGGAACAGGGGTCAGCAAACTTCTTCTGTAAAGGGATGGCTAGTCAATATTATAGATTCAGGAGCCATAGGGTCTCTGTTAAAACATCCCAACTCTGCCATTATAGGGTGAAAGCAGCCATAGACAATCCATGAATGAATGTGCTCCCCTCCACCGCCAGCCCTGTTTTCTGCATTCTCAACCTAAACCAGGGCAGTAATAGATAAGATAGGAGAGGTGGACTCGGCCCTTGGGAGCATTCACCTGGGAAGCTCTGGGATAACAGAGGAGACCTGGCACTGCTGGTGAGGCTCAGCTTTGACTCTATGACCAGGCCTTATCTCTGCAACCACAGCCCACCCCAGCCAGTTGTCCTTGCATCCCAGACAGCCTTGCCCTCCCTCTCATTCTGCTCTTGTGTTTGTCCTCCAGAAGTTGGGTGTAGGGTTCTGGGAGGAAACTCATTTGTCTTTCTGGTTCTCTGTTCTCTCCCTAAGTAGCAGGAAACAGAAGTAGCAGCAGCAGCTTTCAGAACTAAGTGCTTCAAAGGCTGGAACAGCTGAATCCATTAAAATCCTGTGGTCTGGTTCCTGTTTCGATTATCATTGTTGGAACGGTTTGGGAACCCACAGGATGAGAACAAATTTTGTTGGAGTGACTCTGATGCATTTTAGGGCTTGTGATTGTGGGTTTTTTAGTAAGATTGTTTTTGCTGTTTCAGTTTTGTTTATAAACAGATTGTATCGGAAAGTTTTTGAGTGAGCATCTGTCAGATTCTTGCAGTTCTAGCTTATGCCATTGAATACTTTAACATCATGTATAATTTTTCGCCTCCCAAACTGCATGTGCAGGTTAAATTAATTCAGTGACTCTAAATTACTGATGATAGGCTTCTATTGCTATTGTCTGTTCCATTCAGAAGAAAGTTTTGTAGTCTTAGTACATACAATGGAAGTTATTTTTCCTAATAGCAAAGAATAAACTGTCTCTTTCTTTAAGCCAACTAGGCCCCTCTGCAACTATGCAATCAGCCTCCTATTTGAATTGGCTGAAAATGCCCGAAATCACCATAAGCCATAGCACCTAGGACAATGCCTAGTCCTTGGTAGGTTTTCAATAAATATATCTTGAATAAATAAATGAGAATCATGATTTTTCTTATGAGTATTTTTGAAAAGCTGTGTCCATCCTCCTCAACAAACACTTCTCTAGCACTTGGCAATGTGACACCTTTCTTCTCCTTGGCACAAACTGCAGGTGTTACAACAAAAATGTGGCAGGCTCTTAAGTCAGTCCAGAACAATTGGTAATTAGCCCACATCAGGGCAACACTTGATATTTCCAGCAGGACAAGTTCTTGCATTGCACGGGGGTAATGATTGTTTTTCCTCTTACCCCTTTCTCAGCTGGGATTCATTACCTCATCAACAAGTTACTAATTATATTAAAATTTCCAGTCAACATGAGGGATACCTATTGGTATGATTGTGAAGGAATCATTTAACAAGAGGTTTAGAAAAAAATAATCCAGCAGAAAGCTAACCCTATTGAAAACACTTGAACCCTGGAACATTTAATTGAGGTGATCTGGAAACACAAGAACAGCAAAACTCATTCATATTATTGCTTGTCTCTTTGTTTTGGAGTTCTGTGGGATCCAGTGCTTTCTAATTCAGTTATTTTACTTGTTAATTTCTTTTTCTTATTCCCTCCTTCCCTCCCTTCCTTCCTTCCTTCCTTCTTTTTGAGACAGAGTCTCGCTCCGTCGCCATGCTGGAGTGCAATGGCATGATCTCAGCTCACTGCAATCTCTGCCTCCCGGGTTCAAGCGATTCTCCTGCCTCCGCCTCCTAGTAGCTGGCACTACGGCGCACGCCACCACGCCCAGCTAATTTTTGTTATTTTTAGTAGAGATGGGTTTCACCATGTTGGCCAGGATTATCTCGATCTCTTGATCCTCGAGATCCGCCTGCCTTGGCCTCCCAAAGTGCTGGGATTACAGGCGTGAGCCACTATGCCCGGCCTTTTTTTAAATTTTTTGACAAAAATATATATATTTATCAGGTACACGATGTTGTTTTAATACATATATACAATGTAGACTGGCTAAATGAAACTAACATGTGCATTACTTCACATACTTCCCATTTTTGGGCGAAAACACAAAATCCACTCTCAGCATTTTTCAGAATACAATACATTTTCATTAACTAAAGTCACCATTTTGTACAATACATCTCTTAAATGTAATCCTCCTGCCTAGCTGGAATTTTGTATCCTTTGACCAACATTCTCCCCAACTGACCTCCCAACTCTCTCCCAACCCCTGGTCCTTCATATTATTGTGAACCCTTCAATGTTCAATGTTTTAAAAGACTATGTGTTAATTATTTAAAGTATTTAGTGTGTAATGTGTTTGTTTTGGCTTCAACCTTGCCCCAGTGATGCTCAGAACTTTGTAACTTCCAGCTATTGTTCATATATCCACCTTGTGCCAGCCTGATGATACCAGAATCGCTGGGTTTTTTTGTTGGTTTTTGTTTTTGTTTTTGTTTTGAGACAGTCTCGTGCTGTTGCTCAGACTGGAATGCAGTGGCGCAATCTCACAGCTCACTGTAACTTCCACCTCCTGGGTTCAAGCAATTCTCCTGCTTCAGCCTTTCTAGTAGCTGGGATTACAGGCATGTGCCAGCATGCCCGGCTAATTTTTGTTTTTTGAGTAGAGACAGGGTTTCACCATGTTGGCCAGGCTGGTCTCAAACTCCTGACCTCCTGTGATCTACCCACCTTGGCCTCCCAAAGTGCTTGGATTACAGGTGTGAGCCAACGCACCCAGCCTTAGAATTACATTTGATAAACACCAAGTAGGAGGCATTTTATTGGCTTCAAAATAGAAGTTAATGTCTTCATAGCTGAGGAGTTCCATTTCTGAAACCCAAGGACCTTGGCTTTGGAGACATTCACGCTATGCCAAAGATATTCCCCATCCCCCCCAAATTTTTATTCATTCCCTTTCATTGTTTTGTATATGTACCAACCTCCTCCCTCCAACCAGATCTTTTTTGTTCCCTCCAACTAGTATCTTCTTTTAAGCAACTGATATTCCTGGTCTTTTAAAAAAAGACAATATATATATAAGCTAAATACTAATTTTCTAAAGTAAGTCATTCAAAATATCTAGCTAATAGGATGCTAGAGAATGCTGGTCTTTTACAAAAAGCTAAGTTCCTTAGCAAGCAGGGCTTGGTCTTGCTCATGTTTGCACCCATCCTGCCTCAGCAACCCCAGCACCTTGCACAATTCTTCATGCACCTAGCAAGTCTGCAACAAATACCTATTAGATAAAAGAGAAGATGGACTATCAAGCAGTAGTACTTATTTTCTTGTGTGGCTTATAACCTGATTTGAAAGTATTTACAAAAATACTTTGAGGGGTGGCCCCATCAGGGAAATGACCACATGGCTCCAAGGGGTCTGCTTTGAAAACAGCCTCATGTGAAAACCTAAGACCTGGTATATTTGTTGGGGGACAAAAATGGTTTTCTTGTTTTGCAGACATTTGGCTTTATGAAATTGTAGAATATTAAAAGTATCTCTTGTTGGTCAACTAGGCCAAGCTTTCACATGAAGAAGCTGATATGGTTTGGCTGTGTCCCCACCCAAATTTCATCTTGAATTGTAGCTCCCATAAATCCCCATGTGTCATGGGAGGGACCCGGTGGGAGGTAACTGAGTCATGGGGGTGGATTTCTCCCATGCTGTTCTCATGATAGTGAATAAGTCTCACAAGATCTGATGGTTTTATAAAGGGCAGTTCCCCTGCACATGCTCTCTTGCCTGCCACCACGTAAGACATGACTTTGCTCCTTCTTTGCCTTCTGCCATGATTGTGAGGCCTCCTCAGCCACGTGGAACTGTGAGTCCATTAAACCTCTTTTTCTTTGTAAATTACCCAGTCTCAGGTATGTCTTTATTGGCAGCATGAAAACGGACTAATACAGAAGCTAAGGCTCAGACAACTTACAGAACTTATTCAAGTCATTAGTTCACAGTAAAGGCAAGACTAGAACCAAGTCGTCTTACTCCCTAAATCACTTGCTATTAATAGTATTTTTTAAAACTACTACATTGTATTGTCTATAGAGACTGCTAAAAACAAACACCCAACATCTTTATCTTTTATTTATTTATTTTGACTAGGAAATTTTCTTGAAGAATTAGAGAAGTCTTATCTCTGATAGGCCGTTACATCTAAAGACTTATAATAAAAGAGGGCTTTGTTTTCTGACCCAGATAAGCTTAACAAATATGAAATACATAAAACATAAAACTCTACTCATTCTCGAGTATCCTATTAGCTAGATGTTTTAAATGACTTACTTTTAAAAATTAGTATTTAGCTTATATTTACATTGTCTTTTTTAAAAAAACCAGGAATATGAGATGCTTAAAAAAGAGAGACTAGATTTCCCTAGATGCGAGGTGAGAATATTGTCCTGCTCAAACTTCCTCCACCAAAAAAGGAAAAGATTCGGAAGAGCAGAATTGAAAAACAACAACCAAAAAAAGAAAAGTGAAAGGAAATAGATCCAGATGAATTTTAAAATAAAGTAAATTGATCAACAGAGACTAGAAACTGAACAATCATATGCAGTATGTGGACCTAGTTTAGATCCCATCAAACCAAATATAAAAATGAAATATAAAAACACATCTTGAGGCCGGGCACAGTAGCTCACGCCTGTAATCCCAGCACTTTGGGAGACCAAGGCAGGTGGATCACCTGAGGTCAGGAGTTCGAGACCAACCTGCTCAACATGGTGAAACCCCATCTCCACTAAAAATACAAAAAGTAGCTAGGCATGGTGTAGTGTGCCTGTAGTCCCAGCTACTGGAGAAGCTTAGGCAGGAGAATGGCTTGAACCCGGGAGGCAGAGGTTGCAGTGAGCCAAGATTGCACCACTGCACTCCAGCCTGGGTGACAAAGAGAGACTGCATCTCAAAAAATAAAAAATTAAAACACATCTTAGGGATATTTTAGAAAACTTGAATGTGGATAGGGTATCAGATATTGTAAAAGAATTATGTTGTTAATTTTGTTAGGTATGATGATAGTATTATGATTATATAAGAAAATATCCTTATGTTTTTGAGATGTACAGTGATGTATTTAAACGTTAAGTGTCATGATGTCTGGGACTAGTTTTAAAATACTTCAGCAAAGGGGAACATAGATGAAACATGATGAAATATTAACTATTCTAAAATTAAAGTGATAATTTTATAGTAATTCATTATATTATTTCCTCTGCTTTTACACATAAAATTGTTATAAATTTTCATAGGAATAATGCCAAAAGCACATTTGGTCAAAGGGCACAGTCTTCCCAATTTAACCTAAGTACCATTTTAATGTTGGAACAGCGTCTGGGGTGGTATAACACTAAAAATACCTTTGACGTAGAAGTACAAAGCTAGTCAGTTACTGGACAAAAGTTATACTTCTCATCTTCCTGTGGGTAAAAAATTTAAAATTTAAAACTATGAACGAAATCAGTATTTTATTTAAAGAGGAAGTGTGACTTGACAAATTGGGATTTTAGGAATAAAGGAAGTCAGAATCTGAAGTCACTCCCAGGAAGGATCCACATGAAATTACAGGGCAAGGAGCTCTGTCAGGATGCCTTGAACCCCAGTACTCTTTTTTTTTCTTAATTATTGTTCCTGTCTTCTTCAGTGCTTCCTTCAATATAAATATGCTTGCAATGCTGTTTCTTCGATAAATCTCACACATGGCATTTGCTTAAACTGCCAGTGGAATGGTGTTTGGACTATTAGTAAGGAGTATAGCTTTTTAAAATTTAAATTGGATCTGTAAAACCAAAGAAGAGAAGTGTGAGTCAGGATAGGCCAGGTTACGAAGTACAAGTTAACCTTGAGAATCTCAGTAGCTTTAAAGTCATCTCTCACAAAAACTCTACTGTTGGTCAGCAAGGCAGTGGGGGAAGATAGGGAGATAGATTGGGTGGGGAACCAGGCTATCAGAGAACCCATCTAGTGGCTGTGCCATCTGGAACTTGCCACAGCAGGACAAGAGAGACTCGGGCTTCTAGATAGTCACTTTTGCTCACTTTCCTCCGGCCAGAACTGGTCACAGGATCCCACCTAACTGCAAGGGGGCAAAGAAGTGTGGCCTCCTATATGTCAATGAAGGAAAAGAGAACCATGTTTTGGTGGGCACCCTGTTTACTTCATTGTCATTACATGCTGCGTAGATGTATTGATCATCCATCTATGCAAAAACTATTTGTTGAGTACCTATTACACACAGGCACTATTCTGGGTACTAATAATTCAGGGATTTAATTAAATGGCTGCACTCCATAAAGGTGAGTAAGTACATAGTAAGCTGAGCTCTTTTGTTGCTCACCAGAATAAAATATAAACTCAAAGGACAGAGATAAAAATCTGTTTGCTGATACACACATAATACATATCTAGAAGGTATTATATATTATAAATACTTTAAAATTTTTAAAATTACTATCAAAGATGATTATTGGAGCGTCCTAGCTGTGCTCCTACTGTGTAATCTCTGTAAGCCTCAGTTGCCTCCTTTATAAAATGGATAAAGGGATAATAATATGTAGCTTAGAGAATGGTTGCAAGAATTAAAAGAGATGATGCATGTAAAGGCCCACAGTACCTGGCACACAGCAAGTGCTCTGTAAATGTAAAACACACAAGTCATTTCTAATTGAAGTTAAATAATTTAAAATAACACAAACATTGAATTTAAATTGTTAGGAAGCATCCTTCCTTCCTGCCCCCCTGCCATCCATGTCTGGGAGCATAGTGTAGAGCACTGGAAAGAAAAAAACTAGAATTAACCGTGTGGTGTTAGATTTGGAATTGGAAGTATTGGTATGAATTCAGTTTTTAATATACACAATAGTAATAATATAAAGTATATGCCTTGACATATAGAGATTAAAAAATGAAAATAAATGTAAATGTCTGATACATATGTGGTTTTGTGTATCTGTGTGTGTAGATAATCTATAGCTCTATTTTTATTTAAATAATAGATAGATATCTCTAACTCTTTCTGAGAGCAGTGATACCCATTAACAATGTGCACACCTAGAGTCTAGACCTTGGTTTCTAAATATCATTCTTTACTAAAAGGATTCCAAGAATCTTGGGGAAATGACTGATTCCAGGGTTGGGACAGGGAAAATACAAGTTGGGCCTAGAATATCTTTTTGTGCCAGAAAATAGAGAATGGCTCAATGAAGGACAGAAACATGTTAAAAGCGCATAGAAACCAGTCTGATGGGCCTCACACAGGACAAATCCAGGACAATTTGGCATCAAAGTAAGTAACTATAGTAAGGGATGATAGCTGACTAAATAAAATAGGAATCCAGAAGTTTATACTGATGCAATGAGATGCCACAATAAATAAGTGTGGGGAAAAGAAAGCTTTTCCTTACAGTGAAATGCTAACTAATAAATGTACAAGGGATGATGGAATTAGAAAATTGTTATTTGGCAACCTAGTAATTATTAACGCAACCAGCAAACACCAGCGGGTAATAAAACTAGTGGGTGAACATTTAATGAGGGATGGAATATTTTCATGGTTTCAAAGTACCTCCTTACCAGTCTTACTAGCATCAAAGGAAAAAAGGAGGCCGGGCGCAGTGGCTCAGGCCTGTAATCCCAGCACTTTGGGAGGCCGAGGCGGGTGGATCACAAGGTCAGGTGACTGAGACCATCCCGGCTAACACAGGGAAACCTCGTCTCTACTAAAAACACACAAAAAAATTAGCCGGGCGCGGTGGCGGGTGCCTGTAGTCCCAGCTACTGGGAGACTGAGGCAGGAGAATTGCGTGAACCTGGGAGGTGGAGCTTGCAGTGAGCCCAGATCATGCCACTGCACTCCAGCCTGGGCCACAGAGCGAGACTACATCTCAAAAAAATAAAAATAAATAAATAAATAAATAAAAATTGAAAAAAAAAAAAGAAAGAAAAAAGGGGAGAAAACCCAGAAGACAACACTCTAATCAAGTAATCAAAGTTAATGTCATCTGTAATGAAATAAATAGAAATTTTATACGACCTGTGAGGGCACAATGAGACGAACTCACCATGATTTCTGTGATATTCCTGCAAAAAAGCATAACCTGAATCTAATCATGAGGACACACCAGTCGAATCCAAACTGAGGAACATTCTAGAAAATAACTGGTTTGTAATCTTTGAAAGTGTCAAGATCCTGAAAGTCAAGGATAAACTGAGGAACTAGTCTAGATTGATGAAGACCAAAGAGAAATGAGAAGAAATGTAATGCTAAATCCTAGGCTGGATCCTTTTTAATAAAGGACATTATTGGGATAATTAGTGACATTTGAACACGGTCTGATGACTAGCTGATTGTACTTCACCAATGTCAATTTCCTGATTGCCATGGCTGTCCTGTGGTTATTTAGGAGAATGTCTTTGTTCTTAGGTAATTTCACACTAAAGTATTTAGGGGTGATAGGATATCATAGCAGCAATTTACTCTTAAGTGGCTTATTTCTACAACCTTTCTCTAAGCTTGAATGCATTTCAAATATTAAAAAGCCAGGGATGGATGGTAGTGATGGTTGCACAACAACGTGAGTGCACTTAATGCCACTAAATTGTACACTTAAAATGATAAATGTATGTCGTATGTATTTTACAATAATGTTTTTAAAGCTAGGAAAATTGTATATGAAAAATAGACAATAAAATGGTTGCTCGGGAAATACATTCAGAACTAGTTTATACTCTGTATTAGTCAGTTCTCACACTGCTATAAAGGATAATACCTGAGACTGGGTAATTATGAACAAAAGACATTTAATTGACTGACAGTTCCACAGGCTTAAGAGGAACCATGGCTAGGAGGCCTCAGGAAACTTACAGTCATGGTGGAAGGTGAAGGGGAAGCAGGCACCTTCTTCACAAGACAGCAGGAGGGAGTGTGTGCAAGAACGAGGAAATGGCACACTTTAAAACCATCAGCTCTCTTGAAAACTCACTACTATCATGAGAACAGTATGGGGGAAATGACCCCCAATGATCCAATCACCTCCCACCGGGTCCCTCCCCTGACACACGGGGATTACAATTTGAGATGAAATTTGGGTGGGGACACAAAGCCAAACCATGTAATTCTCTAAACTCGAATTGCATGTGTGTGTGGAGAGATATGTTACCTGAATCCTAGTGAAGAGGATTAAATCAATTACTCTCACCCAGTGGGTCTCCTTGGGGCAAGATCAGCCTTGAGGGTTATTTGCAACTTTGTGGGGACACTTTTCTATTGTCAGTCACTATTGCTGGAGAAGGAGGGCACTACTGGAATTTAATAGGTGGGGGCTAGAGATGCTAGAAGAGATGCTAGACTACTTGTATTAGTCCATTTTCACACTGCTGATAAAGACATACCCGAGACTGGGAAAAAAAAAGAGGTTTATTTGGACTTACAGTTCCACATGTCTGGGGAGGCCTCAGAATCATGGCAGGAGGTGAAAGATACTTCTTACATGGTGGTGGCAAGAGAAAATGAGGAAGAAGCAAAAGCAGAAACCCCTGATAAACCCAGCAGATCTTATGAGACGTATTCACTATCACAAGAATAGCACAGGAAAGACCCAGCCCCTATGATTCAATTACCTCCCCCTGGGTCCCTCCCGTAACACTGGGGAATTCTGGGAGATACAATTCAAGTTTAGATTTGGGTGGGGACATAGTCGAACCATATCACTGCTATAATGTAGACACCCCATGAGAAAGAATTGTCCCAAGTCTCCATGGTTTTCAAGCATCCCACAGGCATTCATGAGGGGGAAAACTTTTCTTAAATATCTCCAGCTAAGAACCCCATTTTACATAGAAATACAAAATAGTTTTTCACAGTTTTCACATTTGCTGAATTTTCCAGGAATGCAACTATCATGTAAATTGACAGCAGTTTGTACTTCATCTTGTTTAAAACTCTACTAAGAAGCTGCTCACTATTTGGGAAAAATAAGATCACCTATAACAATGTTGTCCATGGTATTTGAGTAGCCAAACACATACCTCTATCACTCTGCCTTTGCAACTTTCATAAGCAACCATGTAACAGAGCTGCTTTGAGTCTCATCTTAACTGACAACCAAAAAATTATGAAATTAGCAGAGACACATGACATACTTCAAAAGAATTATTTTAAAATGTTTTATAGGCTGGGTGTAGTGGCTCACACCTGTAATCCCAACACTGGGAGGCTGAGGCAGGTGGATTGCTTGAGCCCAGGAGTTTGAGGCCAATCTGGGCAACACGGCAAAACTGTCTCTGCAAAAAAACAACTAAGATAAAATAAAATAATCAGGTGAGCACGGTGGCATGTGCCTGTAGTCCCAGCTACTTGGGAGGCTGGGGAGAGAGGACTGACTGAGCCCAGGAGGTCAAGACTGCAGGGAGCTGTGACTGCACCACTGCACTCCAGCCTGGATGGCAGAATGAGACCCTGTCTCAAAATAAATAAAATATTTAATGATAGCTATCAAATGTATACTACTTTTGTTACCTAATGGTAAGAAATACATTGCGAAATTGCATACTGTGATGACTCATTCCTTAGTTGCCTACAGCTTCTCAGTCTTACTCAGATATTGTCTCCAGAGGTCTACCACAGCCTACCAGCCCTTATTTCACTCTGTCTCTTTCCAGTCCCTTCTGTCTGCCCCATTGACCATGGAAGTTGACGTCTCCCAAGCTTTCTGTAGTGTAAATTAAGGAGCTCCATCCAGGAGCTATGATCTTGGCCATTCTCAGTCACAACACTGTCCCATGTCAAAAGGTAGGAAATTATTTTGACACTACACTTGGAGGTGAGCTCTGAGTTCACCTGTGAGGATCTCACACTTGCCCATTTCTGACAGTCTACCTTTCTTTGGGCGTATATGATGACTTCACGTAAGGTTACCTTCTCTTTCTTGCATCATACAGACATAATTTTGGCCTGTTATTTACCCTACTGCATACTCCTCCTTTTACTCTTTCATTTTCTATACTGTTTCTACAGATGGGCTTCCGATCTTCTTCACTTCTTGTGAAACCAAACAATATAAGCAGGTGCAAACATTGTTTCATATGTTTTCCAAAGTAGCTGTGCCTGAGCATTTATATATTACATATTTTTTCATAATTACTTCTCTTTTATCCCTCCTTAATGTTGTAATTGGGACATTATGTGTGTTTTAAAATTATGTGTGTGGGTAGCTTTTATTTCTATACACAGAGGGGACATTACAAAATATCCACTGTGGCCAGGCATGGTAGTTTGTGCCTGTAATCCCAGCACTTTGGGAGGCTGAGGCAGGAGGCTCTCTTGAGCGCAGGAGTTTGAGACCAGCCTGGGCAACACGGTGAAACCCTGTCTCTACAAAAAATACAAAAATTAGCTAGGCGTGGTGGCGTGTGCCTGTAGTCCCAGCTACTCAGGGGGCTGAGGTGGGAGGATCCCCTGGCCAGGGAGGTAAAGGCTGCAGTAAGCCATGATCTCTCCACTGTACTCCAGCCTGGGAAACAGAGTGAGATCCTGTCTCAAAAAACTTAAACAAACAAACAAACCCACAAAATATCCATTGTGAAAAGAAGATGGCTGTTGTGTCTGGTAAGATGAGAACGTGTGCTCTGACAGAAACAACTGCTTGTCATATCAAAGGGGGCTTGCACTATCTGAGGCATGTTGTGAAGACGGGAAGCAACATGATGGGGGCACTTTTTAAAAAAATCCCTTGCGGAAGAGTTGAGGGAATTGAGGTGGCCAAGCCCAAAGCATCCATAACATTCGGTCCTCAAATACTTCAAAGGCAATTGAGCACACTGAGGTTTGGATGGGCTCAGGGTGGCCCCAGGTGACAGAAACTTGGCCAATGGGAATATTCTCAGAGAGGCGGATGTTCATTCAAGATGTTCGTTCAGATCTCTGAGGGTTCCTAGACTAAGATAGGGAATGATTTGTTTAGTTAAGGCTGCCAGCAGTGGGATCTTCATCTTCCCCTCTGCCCTCCGCAGTTTTTATTGAAAGTGTTCAAACAGATGCTGGACGCTGCAGAGGGGCAACTCTGAGAGGTGTCCAATCTGGACCCATCTGTGTATGGAAGAGCTTCAGGGTGTCACCTCTGGAACCAGGCTGCTGGGGTCCAAATTTTATGCCAGCAGCTTCCTAATGAGGTGACAATGGGGCAACTTGATTTCTCTATGTCTGACTTTCCTCGTGTGTAGAATGGAGGTGATGCTTTAAAATCACCTTCTCTGAGGGCTCTTATGGCATAGACTAAGTATTCAGTAGATGTCAGCTGTTTCTGTTAATCTTTACAAAGCACTGCAGGGAGAAACAGAAATAAGAAACAGAGTCCTAAGAACTTTTCACTTCCCCATGAAGACCCAGTAATAACATTTTTAACCTTGGGTTCCAAGAAACTTTCCTGTATTAATAGGATAGTTCCTTTTTGTGTTTATGCTAATTCAAGGTACTTTCAGTTACCTGCAACCAAAGTAGTTTGACTAATACAGATGAAGAGGATCTAAAATACCTACTGAAAATAGGGCTAAGAAAGTAAGAAGAGCTGACAAAATAGTGCCAGCATTTAGGGGTCAATATGGCAGCAGACTCCAGATCTTGCTTGGTGGGCCCCTCTACCAGAACTTTCCACTAGAATACCTTTGAGTGTACACAAAACTTGATGAACTTGCCACACCCCTGGACATTAGAGAGGGGAGAAAACCATGTTCCAGAATATGGGGGAATTTCCACTGCTTTGGGGTGGATGAGGTTGGGTTGAAAATTACCCTTGTGAACCATACCTCCCTTGTCCCTGGACCAGCACAGTAATGGATGGCTAGAGAGAAGGTAGTTTCTGACATGCCTCAATTAGAAGTCCCCATTAATAGCTTGACAACCCTTCTCTGAGCCGACCAACTTGTCTTTTGTGTGTGAATGTAGCAAGGATAGTCTTAAATAGGCAAGGGCTCAAAAAATATGCCATCCTATACCTTCCTGAAAACATCACTCAAATAGGAATGTCATGCTGTTAAGTATTGAAGCCAATTGAACATACACATAATTCTTTCCAATATGGTTTCAAAACTGATACAGAAATAAAACTCTTGAAAAAGATCTGTATGAGCAAATACTTCACATATTTTAGAAATAACAAACTAAAAAAGAGAGCATGTGAAAGGAAGGGGGTTCTGTACCCAAGGGCAAAATTTGTTCTTAACTTTAATAATGAGAGAAATTGATTTAAACATGTAGCTCACAGTGGCTCATGCCTGTAATCCTAGCACTTTGGGAGGCCAAGATGGGCGGATCACGAGGTCAGGAGATTGAGACCATCCTGGCTAACACGGTGAAACCCCGTCTCTACTAAAAAATACAAAAAACTAGCTGGGCGAGGTGGTGGGCGCCTGTAGTCCCAGCTACTCGGGAGGCTGAGGCAGGAGAACGGCGTAAACCCGGGAGGCGGAGCTTGCAGTGAGCTGAGATCCGGCCACTGCACTCCAACCTGGGTGACAGAGCGAGACTCCGTCTCAAAAAAAAAAAAAGGTAACCTCACATAGTCTTAAAACAGAATGTCTACATCAAAATTACTATAGGAGATGAAAGCAAATAAAAGATACCATATATCCCACATGACATGAGATGCAAACCAAGAAAATAACAAAGACGGGTAATGAGTAGGAAGTGTAATCAAGGCGACTGAAGCAGGACCAAGAGTCAAGAGTATCAACAGGATTATCAGGGGTTAATGACAAGTAGGAGAAAACACCATACACATATGGATGCATTATTTAAAACATGTATTGAAGAGTCTGTAAGGAAAAGCGTTTAAATTGGTTGCATCTGCTTGCATGTGAATTTCTTCCGTTTCTTTGTCCTTTTCTGGGGTTTGCAATTTGTCAACAATGAACATGTATTGCTGTACAGGGCTCATTACTGCAAGCAATAGAAACTAACTCTGACCTTTTTTTTTTTTTGAGACAGAGCCTCGCTCCGTCACCCAGGCTGGAGTGCAGTGGCATGATCTCGGCTCACTGCAACCTCTGCTTCCCAGGTTCAAGCGATTCTCCTGCCTCAGCTACTCAGAGTAGCTGTGACTACAGGTGCACACTACCTGGTTGAATCCAGGCTGTGAGCTGGAGTGTGGAGGGAGGGAGGAGCCCACCTTTACTGCCATAGAAAGGAGCAGTGCTCAGGGTTCCATCAATACCACCCATGTGGGGGGTGCCCCAGAAGCAGGGAGGGAGCCAGGTGCTGCACAGCTTTTTTAAAAAGATAAACATTTGGCACAATTACATTTACAGATAACCAAAAAAATGCCCAGCTAATTTTTGTATTTTTAGTAGAGATTGGGTTTCACCACGTTGGCCAGGCTGGTCTTAAACTCCCGACATCAAGTGATCTACCCCTTGGCCTCCCAAAGTGCTGGTATTACAGGCGTGAACCACCACGCCCAGCCAAACTCTGACTATTTTAAGTTTTTTTAAAAATGAAAGAATTCATTAGAAGGCTGTTGAGAGTTTACTACATCAAGGAGAGGCCTAAGGAACTTGCCTGGGATGACAGTAATGACAGCAGTTTGTTTATGGTTTTTATGTCCTGGTTTTACTTATGAAGGGGGCAAACTGATTCTCTACTCCCACCCAAAGTGTTCTCACGAAAGTATTCAGTGCTGGCCCTTTACTCTGCTGAAACTACTGGGAATATGTCCTCTCTCCTCCTATGCACTCCTCTAGCTGGTTTTAAGGACTTGGTGAGTATATCTGTATTAGGGTTCTCCCTATAAACACAGGCAATCAGCAGTAGAAAGAGAGAGAGGAAGTAGGCCAACAGGATGGAGACCCAGGGAAGAGGAGATGCTGTTGGAGTCTAAAAGTTGTCTATTGGCAGAATTCCCTCTGCTTAGGGGAACATCAGTCTTTCCCTTGAGGTTTTCAGCTGATAGGATGAGGCCCACCCACACCATGGAGGGTAATCTGCTCTGCCTAAAGTTAACCAATTTAAATGTTAATCTCATCTAAAAAAATACCTTCACAGTAATTTCTAGACTAGCACTTAACCAAATATCTAAGTACCATGGCCTAGCCGAGTTGACATATAACATAACCATCCCAGCATCCAGATGGTTGAATCCAGGATGTGAGCTGGAGCATGGAGGAAGGGAGGAACCCACCTTTACTCCTGTAGGGAGGAGCAGTGCTCGGGGTTCCACCAATAACACTCATGCGGGGGGTGCCACAGAAGCAGGGAGGGAGACAGGTGCTGCACAGCTTTTTAAAAAGATAAACATTTGGCACAATTACAGTTACAGATAACCAAAAAAAACCTTTTTTTTTTCTTTACGAAGGACTTGTAAGTTCAGCAGGAAGGCCTCGGTGAGATTTGGAGGCTTGAGTCGTGTAAGCATGGTTTTGTGACTGGATGAAGTGGTAGCTCCCCACCGACACACACCCAGTACTTTCCACTTCTAGCCTTGGCTAGGTTCGGTGACTGCATCCCAAGCCACTCATCACCCAAGCCAGGAGCTGGCCTTCATCCTGACCCTCCCTCTGGCTCACTGGTGTCCCAGCAGTCACCAATCCCACCATCTCCCGCGTCTCTCCCTCTATCCCTGGGGCCGCCATCCTGACCCAGGTTCTCATCGTCTCTCACCTGCACTCTTACCTGAACCTCCTGGTTGCTCTTTCTTCCCAGCTCCTTCTTTACCATCGCTGACCATCCTTCACATGCCTCCAGGCTTCACTTTCTAATAAACCACCCACATATTGCCGCCTCTCGCCTTGCCAATTACCTGCTTCCATGTGGGCTCCCAGAGTGTGAGAGGGTCTGCTCCAACTTCCAGACATAGGGGACACTGGACCCAACTGTCGAATGTGCTGTGATCAGTGGAGCTGCCAGGTCCATCACGTTCTACCACAAATGAGGACAGAACACAGGACACAAATAAAAAGTTGGAAACTATAGATATTTAAATAAATAGACCTTTCCCACCTCAGGAGGTGAAATAAAACAGATTCACTCCATTTTGCTCAAAATGTTTTTCTGGATAATATTTTCACTCAATTTGCCTGTCTACAGCCCCTGTTGTATACTCTATTATCTAAACATAAGTTTATGTTAGTCTATCCTGCCTTCTTCTGTATTCATTTACATGTATATTCAACCATTCAACAAAGTTTTGTTGAGTGCCTATCCTCTGTCAGGCACTAGGTCAGGTGCTGAGTATACCCAGATGTATAAGATCAGGGCTATCTATTGTGGCTTCACACGTACATCAATTTTTCCTGGCTACAGGCTGGGTATGAAGCAAGTGCCTGTCGCAGTAATAGGCACTGAACCCACTGTAATCTGTGAGTTGAAAGTTATTATTTGAATATTTTATTGGAATTCCATACAGAAAAATTAATAAAAATTATGGCTATCTCTTTCATCAGACTCTTAACAAGAAAGGATAAACAGCTGAAATAGTGTTAGCCTAAAATTGAGCTACTCTATAAATTCTCATCATTTTAAAAAGAAAAAATAGAAGGCATTTCTTTTCCTTGGCTTCTTGTTCTGCTCTGGTTGGTAAAGCCATCATCTCCTTATTTCTGTTCCTCCATTTCTGCATGTGCCGTAGGTTACTGAGTTGCCTATCTTCAACAGATGTGACAGTTACTCAAACCCTCCAAAATATTTGATCATTGTGGGGAGAAGCACATTTGTGAAACATTATTGCACGGATATAATTTTGGCTTTGCAACACTTAGTGGAAAAAATAAAGGAAGCATCCTAATGTTTTCCTCTAAATACATGGTCTACAACTCTAAAATGAATCTCATTTTAAAAAATATAAAGCAAATCAAACATCCATCTGTATCCTACCCTCTACCAAATAATCTTAAAATCAAGTAAAAACTGGCAGCTGGTAGCATGCAAACCAACCGTTTGTTTATTTTGATGTAGTCAGAAGCAGACGATTTAAATCACCTGCCAAACATTTACTTTGTTTCTGAAATTTAAATGCAGTTGTCATGGCAACACAACATTTGGATGCTCTGAAAACTGGGACAACTACATTTTTGGACCCAGCCTCCTTTCCATGTCAATCTAAACAATATATAAATATATATTTTGACTTCAGCCCTGGAAAAGCCCAGTACAGTTCTTGCAAAAATGAGATTACTAATCACTAACAGTGAGAATACCTGTAGGAAGATTAAACACCCTTCCCAAGATGGTTCCAACTGATTATTCCAACTGCCTTCCACTGGCCCTGCTCGGCCCCTCCACTCTGGCCCAGCTGCCTTCCTACCTAGTCCTTTAATGAGTTACCTGCATTCCTACCATTGCCCTTTCTTGGCTTCACCCTGTGCCTTTCCAGCCTAAAGGAAGGCTCTTTCCTCTTCACACCATCTAAGTAATTTCCTTCCATCCTTCAAAGATAGGAGCAGCTGTCATCTCCTCCTTAAGCCTCCCTTGACCATGACAGTTCACACTCTTTACTGCACAGTGATAGGACAAGGACTATTTGAGTGGGGTAGGGAGAAGGAAGACCCTTCACTTCCTCAACATTTAAAAAATGTGGCTGTTGCAATTGCATTCTAACTGATCCCCAAGTCATGAGTCACTTTCTTCTATAATACATTATTAGATCTACCAGAATTATTATAAAATAAATTTGATCATGTTTCTCTGTCACTTAAAATATTCAATTGTAAATCCTAAAATGATGAAAGATCTAAAACTCAGGTCCCAGAAACATGGCATATTTAGCTAATGCAGACCCTACTCTCTCTTTATCACATCTCCCCACAAACACATAGAAACACTACATAAAATATAGCAAAATTATTTAAAATGCAGAGCTGAGCTCAAAAGCTCAAGTACCGGAAATAAAGAAGGAACTTAATGTCAGAATGAGAAGTAAATTTATAACTTGAGGTCTCAGATATTGGGATGAGGTCAGGAATTGTTGCATTTAGGCCCCAAAGGCTAGGGGAGGGATTTTAATACTCAAGTAAAGGCAGGAGGTATCATCCTGGGTCCACACGAGGTAAAGAGCTGGAACTAAGACCCCCAAATAAACTAAGACTCTGGAGAAGCTATCCTTTCAATGAAAGAGGGATAAAAAAAAAACTCTATATTTTCCCAAGAAAACAACAATAAAGTGTACCCTAGCCAGGGTCCTGAAAGGAAAAAGATTCCCAGTGAAATACTGAAGTTCCAAACCTGCATTATGCAGAGGTGTGGAGTCAAAATTTATAGTGCCTTCATTGTGTGAAAATTTACAAGCTAAATTTTAATATGAAAATTAGTCTCACACTGGTGAAATCTCTGGTTACCTGGCAGAATAAAATATAAAATACTTCCCAAAGATATTTTCTTAGTTGAAAATACAAGTGACTTTCTCAGGGAAAAAAAAAAAATCCTAAAGAAATGAGCTCAGAAACAAAAACTATAAACCGCAGGAAGAAACAATTCACCACAGACACAATAAACAAAAAGATTAGCAAGAACTTGATATTACAGTAGAACTGGAAATGGCTGGTAAAGTAAGTCTTTAAAATTATATTTTTAAAAGATATCATCATTTAAAAATAGGACTATGTAACCAGATCCATATAGCTCCTCTAGAAATAAAAATATATATTTTTTGAAATTTAAAATTCAATTGCTAGGTTAACAACAGATTGGACTTACTAAGGAAAGACTTGGATGTTTAAGAAATATCCCAGAGTACAACATAGAAAGATAAAGAGATGGGAAAAATGTAAACAGGTTAAAAGACTTAGAAGATAAACTCAAAGGTCTAATATACATCTCCATCAGTTAGCTTTTGTTGCCTAACAAACCACTGTATGTCTGTTTATGATGTTTTTGCCTCTCAACTCCAAATTCACCCTTTTTGCCAACTCTGTGAAAATGGATCTGAGCCCTTTAAACATGTTTTCTTTGCCATATAGCTTGATATTAAGCTACGTCAGTAGAGGGCACCTGGAAGAGCGAGGAGTTTTTCCTTCTCTTCTGGTATGCTCATGATGTGCATGGCTTCCTTAGAAGTGAGTTCCTGATGTGTGGGCAGTGTGCCCAGCACCAGGCTTCTACAGGTCTCTCATCTTCTCCAGAGCACAGCTCCTGCAGGGCACAGCCACCAGCAGCACCTAATGCCCAGAAAACATCAGAGAACATATATGTCAACAGTAATTGGAATAAAAGAAAGGACATTGCTAATGATTTTATAGACATTAAAAGGATAATAGGAGAATATTATTAACAGTATAATGTTAATTAATTTGGTAATTTAGATGAAATGAAAAATTCCTTGAAAGACACATATTACCAAAACTGAATCAAAGTAAAAAAAAAAAAAGGATGCAAATAAATCTCTATCAACCAAAGAAATTGAATTGGTAATAAAAAATCTTCCCATTAAAAAGAAAAGCTTAGACCTTTGACTCTATCAGGTCACTTAACATTAACCAAAAATGTTCAAGATAATAATACTGTGTTGGCAGAAGATTAGACTTACAGACTGACGGAACAGGATAGAGAGCCCTGAAACAGACCTCATATTGATGCTTAACAAAGTTTACCAGGCATTTCAATGGGGGAAAAGACAGTCCTTTCAACAAATGGTGGCTTAACAACTGGATGTTTGCATATTTAAAAAAATGAACCCCAATCTTTAGCTCACATCATACACAGAAATTAGCTCAAAATGGTTCATGGACCTAAATGTAAGAGCTAAAGCCATAAAACAAATGAGAAAATCTTCATGATCTCATGGTAGGCAAAGATTTCTTAGAGCATAAACTGTAAAAGAAAAAAATGATAAGTTGGACTTATTTTGGTTTTTGAAAGATACCATTAAAAATAAAAAGGCAAGAAATATATGAAAAGGAATTTGGGGAAAATATTTATAAAATAAGTATCTGATAAAGAACATATATAAAACAGATTAAGAATTTTGCTTCTAAATAACAGGAGAACCCAATTTTAAAATGGGCAAAAGATTTGAACAGATACTTCACAAAAGATGCTATATTATATGATGCTCAACATCATTAGTTACCAGGGAAATGCAAATGAAAACAATGAGATGTAACTGCATGCACAGTAGAATGACAAAAACTAAAAAGACTGACAGTACCATGTGTTGGTGAAGATGTGGAGCAACTAGAACTCTCACACGTTTCTGTTGGGAATTGGAAAGGAAATGGTATAGTCATTTTGGAACACTATGTCATCTTACTATATAGTTGAATATCCTCTTATTATATGATCACTCAATTTCATTTCTAGGTCCATACTCACGAGAAATAAAAACACATGTCTACAAAACACTGGTATGCAATGTTTATAGTAGCATTATTCACTACAGCCCTTAACTGGAAACAGCCCAAATGTCTATCAAGGAGTAAATAAATGAATAAATTGTGGCATATCCATTGAACAAAATACTACTTGGCAATAAATAAGAATGACAGCTGATATACACAACTGCGTGAATGAATTTTTAAAAATATCATGCTAAGTAAAAGAAGCCTGCCACAAAATACTACATACAGTATGGTTTAATTTGTATAGCATTATATTATAAAAGACAAAAATATAATGACAGAAAGTGGGCTGTGTGGGACAAGAGTTGGAGATAGAAAATTGATTACAAGTGGATATGAGCAAACTTGCTTGGAGGTTTTATATTTCCCTGTGGGGGTGGTAACTTGTCTGTATATATTTCAAAACTCGATGAATTAAACACTTAAAATCACTGAATTGTATTGTATATAAATTACTCCCTAATAAAGCTGTTGGGGAAAAATTCCAAGGTCTTTCGTGATACTGTTGAGCTGTGGAATCAATTAACTATAAAATCTGCCCAGGCTACTTGCAAGCGAAGTCATTCTAATCAATCTGATAACCGTTCCCTTAACTCTTTGGTTATTGCATTGTAACTATTTGCTTATTGTTCCTTTCTCCACTGACTTATGAAATCTTCAGGAACGGAACCCTTGATGTTGGTTTTTGGTTTTTTTTTTTTTCTGTCTAACATACAGAAGGAATTTTGCTAATTCCTGCTGAATAGCAATTGATGCGATCTCTCTCCGGCAAAGCTCATTTAAAACTATAGTTTGGCTGGGCGCAGTGGCTCATGCCTGGAATCCCAGCACTTTGGGAGTTCAAGACTGGAGCATCACTTGAGTCCAGGAGTTAAAGACCAGCCTAGGCAACATAGTGAGCTTCCATTTCTAAATAAAAAATAGAAAAAATTATCCAGGTGTGGTGGTACACACCTGTAGTCCCAATTACTCAGGAAGCTAAGGTGGGAGAATCACTCGAGCCCAGGAATTGCAGGCTACAGTTAACTATGAGAGCATCACTGCACTCCAGCAGGACCCTGTCAACGGAAAAACAAACAAAAAAAAAACAAAAACTATAGTTTGATACTATTTTTTTTTCCCTTGAATCACCTTTTATTGATGCCTGTGTTTCCTCACTCCTTATTTATGAAACAAAAGACTTACCTTCCTTTAAGCGAGTAAAGATGCAACTAACACCAATTCACAAAAAAAGGAAAAGTACAGTTTTCTTGGAGTCATGAGGAGACAAAATGCTTGAGCCTAAAGAGTGGCTTGATGAAAATCAGTTTGCATTTGTGTCACCTCCAGAGATGGTTCTCCTGGGCTCCTTAAGAGGTCTTCAGACTTAAGGTCATTAGTGCAGTCTATGCTAGAGCCACAATTAGGGATCACCCCACTCTGCCATCCAGAAGATATGATGGTGTATTGCTGTACAAATTATTCAATATACTATAGTTGCTTAAAAAATGAAAAAGCATTATTGGAGTAGAGGCTAGTTGCTATAAATGCAGTGTAAGATGATTAGGAAGGTAAAAGAAAATGTACAAAGATAAGATAGGGAATAAGTGTGGGCTACCTTCAAATGTGGAAGTTAGAGATAATGGAGGTCATTGGACTACAAACTTTGGGACTCCACAGGGAACTCATTTTTTAAAAAGTCAGAGTCAAAGGTGATCCTAAGATTTCATGCTTGTGGGGAGAACATGGTGATTCCTTAAGCAAAATGTGCCTTGTTAAGTCTTTTGTCCCCAGTAATTAATACAAAGTTATATTGATGATCTAGGGCCACAAAACAAATTACCTCACTATTCAGCAGCTTAAAACAACAGACATTTATTTGGGGCATGACTTAGCTGGGTACCTCTGGCTGAAAGTCACTCTTGAGATTGCAGTTAGGTGTCACCCAGGGCTTATCTCAAGGCTCAACTAGGGTTGGAGAATTTATATGCAAGCTCCATCATGTGACTGTTGGCAGTCACAGTAAATTGGAAATCACAGTAAGATCCAAACTTAGTCAGGTTTTTGCAGGCTGACCTCAGTTCCTTGGCCATGGAACTCTCTCCAATGGCTGCCCAGATATCCTCATGACACGGTAGCTGGTGATCAGAAAGAGAAAGACAAGGAATCATAGAGTAACCAAGATGGAAACCACAGTCTTTTTATAATCTAATCTTGGAAGTGACACCCATCCCTTCAACTCTATTCCATTCATTAAAAATATTTCAATAAGTTCAGTTCACATTCCAGGGGAAGGGATTTTACAGGGAATGAACGGGGGAAAAGGGTATCATTGGGGGCTGTCTTAGAGGCTGCCTACCACAAAATCTAGTGGGCTCTCAACAAATATATGTCCAATTAATGAAAGAGCTAGGAAATAGAGAAACAGCAGTAAGACTGGGAGAAAATTTTGTGAGATTAATTTAGTTACATGTTTAATTTTGTGTCCTTGTGTGAGATTATGGCAGACAGTGTATTTATCAAACCCATTTCCTTCTTCCTCTGGACATACGACTAGACTGCACTTCCAGCCTTGCTTGAAACTTAGATGATGCGAAGTGCTTGGACCTGGCCAGTGTAAAGTGGATGTAAATGGTTTCCCTCCTCCAGCCAGATGCTGATGTGATGATCCAGTGAAGGCCTCTGAAGACTTTGGGGATGGTACAGCCACTAAATGGAAAAGCCTGGGTCCCTGAATGACTGTGCAGAGCAGGACTCTCCCCAGCCTCCCAACCAACCAATATCTTTGGGAGTGGGGGAAATTTTGAGTTAAGCCACTGAAATTTAGGGGCTATTTGTTGTAATAGACAAGATACTATAAGATATTATAAAAATAGAGTAATTAAGACAAAGTGGCATTGACACGGAAATAGGAAATACAGCAATAGAATGGAATCTGGAAGCCAGAAACATGTAGTGTGATGCAGTTGGCATTGCAGATCAGAGAGGATATAGTAGTTTTGTCAGTTAATGCTGATTAATTGACTGATTAGCCATGTTTAAGAAATTGAAGATAAATCTCTATCACCGTGCACAAAAACAATCCCACAATGACTTAACTGTCAACATAGCTACTGTTAGTGATCACAGTGATCTGTGTGCAAGAAAAAAAAAAAAAAGGAAAAGGATAGAGTACAAAATTCCTACAAAGAATTTCTGAAAGTCAAAATTCATACAGTAAATGGCAGAATTGCCATGTCCTGCCAATTTCTGTCAGACCCAGTCAGACACCCGAGGCCTCCCTACAGGACCCTGTCCTGTTTCTGTCATGACATCCACTCTTGCCAGTGACTTGTCAGCCACTGCAAACCCCAAAAGGTCATATTCTCTTCCCCAGTACTCACAGCATAAACTAACCCTTGGTAGCAAGCCCAGGGTCATGTGTTCTCACAGCACACACTAGCCCTGGGTTTGAAAGCCAAAAAGATCAGGAGGTAGAGGGTGTGGGGACGGCGGCTCAGTGCAGAGTTATCCCCAAGAGGAGAGGAATTTACAACCCTCAGGGCTCTATGAGGAAGACAGGAGACCTCAAAAGGGGTCAGCAGCACCTCTTCTCATTCCTCAGAGGGTCTCAAGAGTTGTCAGCAGTGTGCTTTGGGTCCTTTGTGGTTGCCAGATACTGTCAAAAGACGCAATTACAACAAATTCAGTTTCAAGATCCTAACTGACTTTTATTTGCAATTCTAGAATCAGGCAACACTTCATGGTACGCTATAGAATATGCTGTAGAGCAGAGGACTTTGGCTTTCTAGACAGAAAAGGGGTGAGGAAAGCAGTATCAGAGAACAAAACGCACACTGGTCGTTTCAAAGTTACTGTCCTTGTAAAGATTAAAGCAGAAGGAACTTCCTTACCGTGCCAGCTAAAGCTGGCTTGTTTGGGAATTTGCTATTATCTCTCTCTCTCCTGATTTTTTGGAAGGTCAGATAAACAACGTAGTTTTGGCTTGGTGGCACTCAAACTTCAGCATGAGTCATTCCATTTTGGTTTGGTCTCTCAGGCCTAGTGCAGGAGCTCAGTCCAAACCAATGGCTTCCAGTAAATGTTATTTAACAGTTCCAAGTTCTTGGAGAAGGGAAGGGAGGAAATATTTCAGAATAGTGTGACTATAACCACTGGAGAAATGAATGCCTTCAACTACAGAAAAGTCTTTTAACTGGTCTTCCTCTAGAGTCGGCCTGCCCCAAAGCATCCTACATGCCACTGCCAAATCTTCCAAAACATTACTAAGATAATTTTTAATGGTTTCCCATGGCCTTCCAATGTCATAATCTGTCTTCTACCCATCCTTCTAGACTTATTCCTACATGACAACTTCTGAGCCAGTAAACATGGTCTAGCCGATGTCAGGGAAATGCAGCCTGAACTGCTTCCTTATTGTGTCTTGATTCATGCCATCCTTCCTCCTTGAAAAATGGAAAATTTACCTGTCTTTCAGGAAAGCTCAGATCACACCTTCTTTTGAAGTTTCCTGGTTATTCCAATGGTAAGCGACAACTATCTGTGAAGAAAACAATTGTCAGGGCCAGGGTCACGGGCCTGTACCGTTCACAGGGCCTCAAGAATAAAAGTCCTCATGCTTGGTTTAATCCTCTTCTGCTGTTTTGAAATTCTCAATACTTTTTCGACAAGGGGCCCTGCATTTTCATTATGCTGTGGCCCACAAATTATGCAGCCAGTCCTGATAACCATGTCCACTGAGGAAATAACTTGTATCCCTATCTTAAGCGATGTGGGCTGCTAGATCACAGATATCCAATGCCTTACAGAGTTAGTAACCACAGTACAAACATACTCACTTCCCCTCCATTTCTGTCTAGTCAATCTATTCACCATCAGGCCAGTTTTATGCAAGAGATCAATAGGTCCTTAATCCCCCCTTTCTCCCCGATACAATTATATTTTCAAAAGAACATGCTAACTTAGTCTGTAATTGCCAAGTTTCAGTGAAGGCTTGGAGGCTGTGGCTGATTGCAAGGCTGGAGCTGGGGTTGGTGTGCTGGAGTTTGAGGCAAGAGCAGTGTGGTTTGACTGATTTCCCTAAATTGTTCTGCTCTTCACTGCTTTTTCTCCTTCTTTATTTCTGTAACGACAGGTTCTCTAAAACACAGGTGTTTCTCTTTTCTCCCAGTGGTTCTCGTAGCCACAATAGGAGAGTTTTGTTTTCAGGAAGGAGCAGAGGACACTAAGTAAGAGTGAATAGCCAGCCAGGGCTGTCTGGTGGTTTGTTTTTTGTTTTTTTTTTTTTTTTTTTGAGACAGTATTTCACTCTGTTGCCCAGACTGGAGTGCACTGCCCTGATCTTGGCTCAGTGCAGCCTCAGTTTCCTGGGCTCAAGAAATCCTCCTACCTCCCACCTCAGCCTCCCAAGTGGCTGGGACTAGAGGCACACGCCACCACGCCTAGCTAAATTTTATTTTTTGTAGAGACAGGGTCTTACTATGTTGTTTGGGCTGGTGTTGAACTCCTGGACTCAAGCAATACTCCCACCTACCAAAGTGTCAGAATAATGGGCATGAGCTACCACACCTGGCCCAGGGCTCTCTTAGGGTGTTAAGAGGAAGGTCTTCTTTTTCTCATGAGATTTTAAGTTCTAGGAACACAAAATGCGTTTTTCAAGACTTTGAGCTTATCTACTATAGCACTTTGCACATTGTAGGCTCTCAATAGATAGCTTAGGCATGAAATAAGAAGCAGCTAATACACATATACACCATGGAATACTTCACAACCATAAAAACGGATGAGATCATGTCCTTTGCAGGGACATGGATGAAGCTGGAAAACATCATTTTCAGCAAACTAGCACAGGAAGAGAAAACCAAACACCACATGTTTTCACACATAAGTGAGAGTTGAACAATGAGAACACATGGACACAGGGAGGGGAACATCACACACCAGGGCCTGTCAGGGGCGGGGAGCTAGGGGAGGGGTAGCATTAGGAGAAATATCTAATGTAGATGACGGGTTGATGGATGCAGCAAACCACCACGGCACATGTATACACCTATGTAACAAACCTGCACATTCTGCACATGTATCCCAGAACTTAAAGTATAATAATAATAATAAGCAGCAGCTAATAGACCACACTAGCCATGAGAGGAACCCCTGTTTCCTAAACTCCTCGAGTGCCAAGCACCAGGCCAGGGCTCTTGTGTGCATCCCTCCGGTCAATGAACACACAACTGCCCCCTGAAAACCACCCCCTTACTGTGCAATATTGACACGGGAGGTAACAGGTAGATCATAACTATTTATAAGAACCATCTGTGTTTCTAAACAGTCATTTACTTAATATTTTTTAAATTAAGCTAGAATTTGTAAAGAGTGTAACATTAAACTTGTTACCTGTTTTGAAACTAATGCAGAGTTTGTATTTCCTGAAATTGTGAGCTTTATGCACTTGTTTACTTAAAAGGATATTTTGCATTTTGACATTTTTTTACTTCATCAAAGCTTTAATGATTTTAAAAAGCAGAAAAGTTACTGATGTGCCTGGAAAAATCCTGAGAAACTAGAGTTAGGAACATTCTCTAGACATATAAAAGAAGAGATGAAATACACCAACGGACTGAAATGAAATACAGTGGGGTAAAAGAAAGAATATTGAGGAATGAAATGAATGACTGAAGATAAAAAGAAGAAAGGAATGCCACAGGAGTGAGCAAATACAGATACTGGGTGTGATCAATACTCTGTAGTCATTGGAAAACAGCATCTTGGGAGATTTGTTACAGAACTGAGAGCTGCAAGAAGATATTGGCCACCACCAGCAGGAAGCCCAGCACATCGTTATAGTAACTATTAAGATCTGTTAGAACTTTCTGCTACTCCAGTTAAAGTGAGTTTCACAGAATCTTCAAAACAAAGCCAGGGCAATATTGCTATGCTATTGACTGAATGTTTGTGTCCTCCTTAAATTCAGATGTTGAAATCCTAACCCCTAATGTAATGGTATTTGGAAGTGAGGCCTTTGGGAGGTGATCAGGTCATGAGGACAGAGCTCTCATGATTGGAATTATGCCTCATAAAAGAGATCCCACAGCGCTTGTTCACCCTTCCACCATGTGAGGACACAGCGAGAAGACAGCTGTCCATGAACCAGGGGGCACTCACCAGACACTGAATCTGCTGGCGCCTTGATGTTGGACTTTTCAGCCTCCAGAACTGTGAAAAACAAACATTCGTCGTTACTAAGCCACCCAGCCTATGGTATTCTGTTATAGCAGCCTGAATAGACAAAGACAGACATTGGTACTGAGGATCAAGATGAAAGTACCTGCTCAAGTTCACACAGGTGACAAGCAGCAGAAGTGAGTTTCAAGCCAAGGATGCCTAATGCCAGGGCCAAGGCCATCTCTTCAGCATTCAGCACTCAGCAGTGGGTGCGCTTTCTGATCAAAGTCCTGGGAAGGAAGAACAGGACTCATGAGAGATGGAGGATGTAATTTGCAGTGTCTGGCTCTAAATCATGGCAGTCACAGCAAATGTCCTGTACTTCTATTTAGCAAGCACTATCATTAGAGTTGCCTTCCATAAAGCAAGGATATGAGAGTGTGTCAGTGTGTGCTAGCATGTTATGTGTGGCTTTTAGCTTTAAAAGTAGCACTTGAGCCGGGCGCAGTGGCTCACGCCCGTAATCCCAGCATGTTTGGAGGTCGAGGCCAGTGGATCACAAGGTCAGGAGTCTGAGACCAGCCTGGCCAAAGAGACCAGCCTGGCCAATATGGTGAAACCCCATGTCTACTAAAAATACAAAAATTAGCCGGGCATGGTGGCGGGTGCTGTAATCCCAGTTACTCGGGTGGCTGAGGCAGGAGAATTGCTTGAACCCAGGAGGTGGAGGTTGCAGTGAGTCAAGATCGCACTACTGCACTCCAGCCTGGGTGACAGAGGGAGACCGACTCAAAATAAATAAATAAAGTAGCACTTGAGCCCTGGAGGTCAAGGTTGCAGTGAGCCGTGATTGTATCATTGCTTTACAGCCTGGGCAACAAAGTGAGACCCTGTCTCAAAAATTAAAAAAAAAAGAACACTCTATAGTTTGCGTATTAGTCAGGGTTCTCTAGAGGGGACAGAACTAATAGGATATATATATATATATGTGTGTATATATACACACATACACACACACATATATATATATGAGTTTATTAACTCACATGATCACAAGGTCCCACAATAGGCCGTCTGCAAGCTGAGGGGCAAGGAGAGCCAGTCTGAGTCCCAAAACTGAAGAACTTGGAGTCTGATGTTCAAGGGCAGGAAGCATCCAGCACAGGAGAAAGACATAGGCTGGGAGGCTAGGCCACTCCAGTCTTTTCACGTTTTTCTGCCTGCTTTATATTTTAGCTGTGCTGGCAGCTGATTAGATGGTGCCCACCCAGACTAAGGGTGGGTCTGCCTTCCCCAGCCCACTGACTCAAATGTTAATCTCCTTTGGCAACACCCTCACAGGCACACCCAGGATCAATACTTTGCATCTTTCAATCCAGTCAAGTTGACACTCAGTTTTAACCATCACAGTTTGTAACCTGAGCAATGACACGTGAACTAGCAAAATGTCCTATATCCACTGTTACTTCTTTGTGCCCAATCACTGAATGCAAGTATGTCTCCGAGGACTCATGCCAGACTGTCCATCACTGGTCAAAGAATTAAAACAATATCCTACAGCAAAGTTTCAGGAGACACCAGGGATCCTACAAGCTGGGACTTCATTTGGGAAGCCAAGTGGTGAGCCAATCCTCTATTGCTGCCCTCACCTCACAGCTCAGTCCTTACGGGAGTCAGAACTACCCAAACTCAGCAAACCGTCTAGTACAGAACCTTGAGCAAACGGTTCCTGTTCCAGTCTAACACTGCCTGCTGTTGCCACCTCTGCCATCCATGCAGCCTCCCCAGCCTCCAGTCTCTCTCTGCCCATGCCAACTGTCCCTTTCTGGACTGCTCAGGTCCTAGCAGTCAGATTTCTGCTCAATTTCTAGCTCTGGACACTATGTCCCGTTACTGTGTATGGCTCTGTGTCTCCCAGACGATGGAAAGAGAAATGTGACTTAGTCAAAATGGAACAAAAATTAAAACCAACCAATCAGCTAACCAACTAAAACAAACACAATTTTAAAACCACACATTTTCATACATACACTCAGCTAGTCTAATACCACGGGGAAACATACGAAAAAAAACCTCTCCTGCTTCTCTTTATCCCCATAAAGTTTCTTCAGAGCACTTATAAAAGCACCTGGCGCATTAGACATTTATTTGTAGTTTATTGTCTTCCCCCACCCTCTACAGATTGTTAAGTTCTAAGAGAGCAGGGACTTTTATCTCCCTCACCTTTAACAGCGTCCGGTCCGATGTGAGGACGTCAACATTTATTAGGATTGGAATGGCACCAGCTGCACTCCTTTCCACTCTTTATTTTCAAGGTCACCCCCTGAGGTTTTCTTTAACCTCATTGAACTCACACCCTAAAGTCAGAGGAAGAGGTATCCCCTTGTGCCAGACCCAGGTTGACTACATTATTACACATTCTTCTCATCCTCCGAGCCTTAGAGGAGGTGACCATCACACATTTTCACTCCATTCCACCTTAGTTTCCGGAGCTGCACTTTCCCACATTAGTTTCCCATTAGTTGACCAAGCATTTAGTTGGGCTCTGAGCTCTTAAAAACATAAGGAGAATCTAATTTTGAATAAAAACACCGGGCCATACTGAACAAACCCAGGGAAGAAGTGGTGGTCATTCTTTTCCTGTCCCCCCAGCTGTGTGGCTGGACAAGGCTTCCTGCAAATCCTAATCACTTTACCTCCTGTGATATGATTAAATAAAAAAAGATGGAGTACAAAGCCTAAACAGAGTAGCTCTGTTGCTCTGGCTACATGTCTTTTTCTTTTGAAAGTGCAATCTAGTAATAACCAAAAGCAGTCTGCAAATGCAAATCCAATTGCTTAACTAATTGTATTCTCACCCCTGGAGTAATGGAAGCTCATGCTATAGAGGAAAATCTGAACTTAGCATGACCCAGGGTTCTGGGTTCTCAAGGCAGGCCTGCATAGAGCATCAGCTCTGAGGAAGCTCGCTCAAAGGAAGGAGGTGGACAGAAGAGAGATGTGCATGGGTGATCAAGTGGGAACAGAAGACAAACGCCATGGCTGGGTGCAGTGGCTCACGCCTGTAATCCCAGCACTTTGGGAGGCTGAGGCAGGTGGATCACTTGGGATAAGGAGTTTGAGACCAGTCTGGCCAGTATAGAGCGAAACCCCATCTCTACTAAAAATACAAAAAAAAAAAAAAAAATAGCCAGGCATGCTGGCAGGTGCCCGTAATCCCAGCTACTGGGGAGGGTGAGGCAGGAGAATCATTTGAACTCGGGAGGCAGAGGCTGCAGTGAGCCAAGATAAGGCCACTGCACTCCAGCCTGGGTGACAGAGCAAGACCCACTCTCTCTCTATATATATATATTCTACGAAAGTAGGTCTCCTCTATAACAACATTCATGAAGTAATGTTGATTTTGACTGACGTATATAAAAATAAAACTCCTAAGTTTGGCAGTATTTACTGGAGATATACTACCCGATTCATTACTAAAAATGTGATAAAGAGTTTAGTTATGTACGAGATCCCTGCAGTGTGGCTTATTGTGGAAGGGCACGTTTATCTCTTTTTTTTTTTTTTTTTTTTGAGACAGAGTCTTGCCCACGCTGGAGTGCAGTGGCTCAATCTCGGCTCATTGCAACCTCTGCCTCCCAGGTTCAAGTGATTCTCCTGCCTCAGCCTCCTGAGTAGCTGGGACTACAGGCGCGCCACCATGCCCAGCTAATTCTGTATTTTTAGTAGAGAAGGGGTTTCACCATGTTGGCCAGAATGGTCTTGATCTCTTGACCTCGTGACCCACCCAACTCAGCCTTCCAAAATGCTGGGATTACAGGCGTGAGCCATAGCGCCCGGCCACGTTTATCTCTTTTTATGTACTTTTTTGTTTGTTTTTGACAGTCTTGCTCTTTTTTAAACAACAACAAACCTTCTAGAAATGATGTCTCACTATGTTGCCCAGGCTGGTGTTGAACACCTAGGCTCAAGCAATCCTTCCATCTCAGCCCTCCACCATTACTTCTAAAAAATAAAACCAGTGTTATGGAATTGTTCGGGTGGGAAAAGCTTGAAGTCTCTGGTCTTCTTGCTTCCATGGTGCCGGGTGCCCAGGATGACTATTTGCATAGGATTTGCCAGATGAGCGTGTGGAAAGGCGTGTCTTCACAGGTGTGCCCCTAACTTTGTGCCTTCCTATCAAGGGAGGCATGGTTGAAGGGCTGCAGAGAGAGCTGTACCCAGGCTTCACATTTAAAAGAATATGGAAAACTCATTACTTACGACATTGACTGAGTTCAAATCCTGGTTTTTCCACATACTAGTGTGTACTCTTAGCCAAGTTATTTCCTCCATTGTTTATTAAAACGTAACTTCTGTTTTTAAAGGAAGTCATACATACACATGGTCAAAAACTCTGACAACAGGATCTGGTGAATCTTTCTCAGAAGTTTTCTAGGCATGTATAACACATTTCCTTTTTTTTTTTTTTTACATAAATGTACCATACATCATGTTCTTTTATCTGTCTTAACATCTCTTAAAATATTATTTTCTTACGGGCTTTCTAGTATTTTGTTTGAATGGATGTATCTTATTTACTGAAAGAGTCCTGTTAACAAACACATAGGTTGTTTTCTGGTTGGAGTTAGGACCGAACAATCTTTGATGAACATCTTTGATCACTTGTACAAGTTTGACAGGATAAACTCCTAGGAGGGCTGCTGGGTCCAAGGCTGTGGTCATTTTCGATTTGAGTTAGTATTACCAAAAGCGCAAGTTATTTAAGTGAGCCCTGATTCGCTCTTCTTTGTAAACAGTGGACAATAATGAGCTTCTCAAACGTTTCTTATAAGGATTAAATGAGATGGGGATGTAAAAGCCCAGTATATAGCAAGCAGGCTGTCAATGAATATTGGCCTCCATCTTTTTTTATGGAGAAAGACAACTATTTATGCATATTATGATGACTATAGCTTAACCATGAGCTCAACAAACACAAAAATTCAGAGAAAATTCTGCGATACCGTATCTATTTTAAACCACATTATTGAATGTAACTAGTGAAATCTCAGGTCAAATAGAATGTATTTAAGGAGACACAAACTTGACATTAACTCTAAATACCAGAGTATTGAAGATTTGATAGTTGTCTCTTCTTACAAATATATCCCTCATAATAAAAAAGCACTCCACTAATATGCCAATTATGATACATCTTCCAGTTGTGTTTTGTCCTTGAGCGAAAAATCTTGCTGCTCAATTCAAGTCATTCGTTTATTCCTAACACCCATATATATATCTCCAACTCTGGAGAGAAGCACTGACAGAAAGATGGAAAATTTTAGAGCCCTCGTTTCCACTTCAGAGAGCCTGTTGTCCCCTAAACCTCTTGGGCCCTCGGGCATTTTTAAACTTATCAAGATTCCAGAATGAGGTTAACGGGACGTCACAAAACGAATCCCCCACTGTCCCGTCCCAGGGGCTCCAAGCCAGGACCCCAGCCTGAGGGAGCCTCCGGGCAGGAGGAAGAGGCCCAGGAAGCCATTGCTCCGTTCCTTCCCGGCTGTTTACGTGGCACTCAAGGTA